CGAACACTAAACGTGAGGGTGGGAGGACGCGAGGGTGGGCGAAGGGATCAGTTGGATCATTCCATGTATATGACAAATAAAGAGTGACCGAATTTCAATCTCGACTTCATTCAGTTATGTAGCTATTGATAGTGACCGCCATCTAGTGACTGTTATGCATAAGGCCAGGTTGATGCAACTCTCAGCATCCATGCCGCTGCTGTTCATTCTTTCTGATGCCGGCAATGGGGCAATCACTTATTCCAGCCCTGCTTAATCCCTAGCCTTATCCTCAAGATGGTAATAAACAATCCAGATACAACACAGCAGCCGCCCAGGCATCCTGCAGCCATTTGGAAACCACTACGGCTGATCACCGCCCCTGTCGCTGGTGGCCCAAGCAGGGCAGCCAGTCCAGAAGCAAACATGGTGACGCCGATTCTTGACCCAAGTTCATCCAATGAGGCCGTACTTGCAACCAGAACAGGGAACATGCTCAGTGTCACATTGCCACCGAGACCGCTCACGACGGCAAATGCGATCATGGTTCCACTACTCTGCGCCGGAAGCCATAATGCAAGAATGGACGCACTAGTACAAAATACCGCGACGAGAGTACTGTTTAACCTTCCTATGGAGTCTGCAGCATAGTTGCACAAGATTCGGCCAAAGAGACTATATGGATCAGGTATGCGATGAAGCTGGAAAGGCTGAATACTCACCCCGCTCCGTTCATGACAGCGACAAGATACGAGGCTTGGTCATAAGCCATTGCCCGGTCGATAGCAGCCTCTACTATGTATGTTTCGATGGCATACATTACCACTAAATCAATAGGCTATTAGCTACTGGAGAGGACGTTGGCTGTTTTCAACTCACAAGAAAATAAGAAAGAGGCCAGCCCTAGCATGACGAAGTCGACTTCCTTCAGAGGCGACAGTACTTTCTTCACAGTCACCGGCCTCAATGTAGGTCGAACATCGGACCTTATAATGAGATTTGCCAGTATCAAGATGAATCCGATCAGTGCCGAAACGAGTATCAAAGTCCATTGATACCCGATTTGGTCGAGGCAGCGTGAAACAACAACTGGAAAAATCACACCACCCGCCGATGCCCCCACATAGGCTATTCCAGTCGCCAGAGCACGCCGTGTGTTGAACCAGGTGAGTAACTAATATCTAGTCAACATTGCAACCGTGATACAGTGTCAAGGATGATGACAGATAACTTTCGTACCGAAGAAGTAGACGATGCCAGGAGAAATGCGGAACCAAGCGGAGAACACACCGCGTAACTCAACATTATCTGGAGATAACTTCGAGAAAAAGCAGTAGTGAGCACCCCTAAAGTGTGCATAAGACTACCTATGATCATTGGAGCTCGTGGGCCATAGTTGTCGAACATCAGCCCGCCAAGAAGTTGACAAACGAGCAGCATAGCCCCTGTAGTTCCATCAGTAGACTCCTCAACTGTTTTGTGATACGTACATGATGTAGATGGGATCCAACATATAGTCCCTAGGGAGTATTCCGAAAGGAAATGGACTTTGAAGTACGTCTGGAAAATTGCGCCACAACTTAGCCAACCGAGCGTGACGAATGTGCATAGAAACCCTCCAGCTACTGTGAGCCAGCCACGTCGACCTCTGTCTTGCACAGGGTTGTCAGGGTCGCCAGGGCTATCAGACATTGCCCCAGCCTCGACATGAAGATTTTCCTTTGGTGAGACTGGTGAAGATGCTTCATTCCCTTGAACTGTCACGCCTAAATCAGAGTGCTTTCGAGTTGTGGATGGTGCGAAGCCAGATATCCAGGCGATGCCACTCCGTAGATTCATCTTCATATGGTAAATTTTTGCGAGACCACGTCTTCGATGCAGAATTGGGATAGGGTGGGTGGGATATGAAGCTCAAGCTAAGACTACCCTCGACAGGCGGATGGTCGTACTATATAGCTATCACTACACCTTCCATACTACGCAAAAGGATCTGTACCTAAAGGTTTCCTGCAGAACTTGAAAAAGCGAATCCCGAACGCTGGGTCGTCTTGCGTGAGACGGCTATGGGCAGTAGCTGCATGGATGGCGAACGCTACGAAATTGCCTCCTTCAGGCAGAGAAAATGCAGAGACGCAAGACTACGTGCTGGGTCTGGTGTCAGCCATGCTATTTAGGCTACGAAATATCGCCGGGGGAGACGTCGCAGGAGTCGGTAATGGTCGAGCAATAAAATTGCATTGGTGGTGGTAAGGGTGCTCTTTGAAGGTCTGGAAGAAAACTTGCTAAAAGTGATGAGGGTGGATGTAGTCGCCGTGGCTAGGGATTTCAGCCAGCTCTCGAACCTCTTCACTCGTACGACAATGTTCAGCGGTAGATGCGTAGACTTGGCGTTGGTTGCAAAAAGATACTTTTGACCCTCACCCACGTGTCTGAATGGTGGGTGACTGAAAATGCCCTGCGGACAATTGTAACCTCGAGGCTCGCGCTGTTGAGTCATAAGTGAACCTCATGTGGCCGCGTCTCAACTCCACACGAGAGAATTGCTGATCAATCCGAAGCCTGACACGGAGCCAGTTCGGCGCGAGAAGAGCAATGCTGGATCTGAAGCGTGCCTTCCTAGTATTCGTGTTGTAGGCGCGTGAAACGGACTTTGTATCGTGTTCAGGTTAACCCGGACACATCTGGGTTCATTGATCTATTTGCGGCTTGGGCGACATTCGTTGCCCTATGTACGGCGGACGAATTCGCCATTGAACAGCGCATCTACTGGCGACTTGACTCACTTCAGGACATAAGCACGCTTTCGTCGGGCCCCCGCCTATTTTCGTGGCCTAGGGTCGCCGACATGCAATAATCAAAGTCGTCCATGAACATCAAATCACTTAGGTGAGCTTTCATTTGTCAAACACATGGATTGCGGACATTGCACCATGATTCTACACATATCAATTCTCAACAACGGCATGTGTATGCTAATCTAGGTGGATAAAGTACTTCTGCTTGGACATATTTAACAAGCAGACGTCTCCGCCGTGGCGCGTTTGATACCATTTGGCTTTGATCATTGGCGAGGGTGAAACTTGACACGTAAGCCATCTCTTGGCCGTAAAGTGACTGCCGGATTATGCTAAGGAACAGCCTCATTTTCAAGACTCGCGAGTGCCTTTCCCTTGGTGACCACAAAATGACTCACCAGCTCTACGAGTAGAGTCTTGATCTCCATTATAGCATATTGCTTCCCGATGCAGATCCGTGGGCCATTGGAAAATGTCTCGATGCCGTAAGGACCCGCTGCTTCTCCTGATAGATTATCCCATCGTTTCGGGTGAAATTCATGAGAGTCTGGTCCCCACACTCTAGGCGATAAATTGGTGACATACGGCGAAAGCACAAGCTTGGTGCCCTTTGGTATGTGGAACCCGCATATGATGACGTTTCGGGTTGCTTCACGGTTGGTGAAGACAGCTGGCCAGAACGAGTAAGCTATTGAATCAGCATGACACGCGACGGATAATTGACGAACCTGGACTGTAGAGCCGAAGTAATTCACGCACGAAATTATGGAGATAAGGAAGCCGATC